AAAAAAAAGGGTTAGAACCCACGCTATCGACGCTCTTCTCAAATGTTCTGAGCCAAAACTCCCTTGCTTCGCCATCTAAATTGAGGTCAGCCACATCAGGTTTGTACACCTGCATAAGAAAAACAGAACAACTGGAGAAAAGCCCTCAGCTTCTCGTTCGCTAAGAGCGTTAAGCAGCACAAATGCTAGAGCAAATCAATACTACCAACCCCAAAAAATTTGCTCAAACCGTCCAACGAGCGCAAAAATGTGCTTTCCACCCAACTTTGGATCCATCGAAGGATGGATACAAGTGCTGGTAAAAAAATAAGAGTGAAAAAAGAACAACCCTTGAAAAATTTCCCACGGAATCTCAAACAAGTTTTTCTCCTTTTATATGGGCAAAATCGCATCTGTTAAAGATAAAATAAAATTTCAGGTCTCTAAACAGCTATCTGATCTAAAGTTTTGTTATACCACAAACAATGCTGCACTTCACAAGCTCCAAAATTGTTAAGAAGTCGCCTCATTAAAAGCGAGATGCGCTTGATAAAGCGACTTCTCGATATAGAGCTTGTGGAGGTGCGAATAGGTGTAACACCTATGTCCACACCTAACCAAGATGGGTGTCATGCTAATGCAACTCAGAAACAAAATTTGTTACGAAGTTTTGAGCAAAAATGGAAAAATGTTGCTGAAATACGGATAATTCCAGCAGCATCGTCTCATAGGAAAACAATGATGAGAGCGAAATAGAAACGTTCTGATAGGAACATTAAGACAAACCTTCAAATTCTCGGCTAGAAGAGGAAATGGCCTCAGTATAATCTCCGCACATTCGAGCTCAAGCACACCAGCCTATGTGGAACTTTCATAAGTTTCGAGCATAACATAATAAAAAATGAGCAGAAAATGGAAGTGTTGAGATTGGTAACAACTTCTAGCCTTCTGCGACAACCGTTCGCGCATATAGCGGTCAAAGAAATGGCACTTTTGCACATAGCTAACAAATGAGCACAAAGAAAAACGAATATATCACAGATAATGGAGCGAAAGCGCTAAACGGGGCCTACCGTAAATCCCATAGACAAAGGAGCAGTCGGAACAAATCTGCCAAGTTCTGAACAGCCTGAATAGTACTCACGCCATGAAAGTCGTTCTGCTTCATCTAAAAATTATTTTGACGTAATAGAAATGGGCGTTGAGTAATGAGCCTCACATCCAGCTCCAAACCCGGCTTGAGAAAGATCAATGAGAGAAGCTCCACTGAGGTATGCTCCAATTGCTGAGGTATAACCCTCATGTCGTAGAAAATGCGCTTGCTGGGTCCCCTATAAGATCGCAAAATTAATCCCCTATAATAATCGCAAAATTGAAAGTAACAACCAGCAAGTAGTTCGCTGTACGTTTCTAACACTGAAGGAGTGATATCCAAGAAGTACAAATGAATTCGGGTAGAGTAACGGATACCGCCAGTGAGCACCGCCTTCTTGGACTACTGGTCCTAAATTCTTTTCAAACAACTTCTTGGATATCGTGTGAGGACCGATAGTCGGGGAAGACGAAGCCTAATGGCGAAAGTCATTCCTCAATCCCATTTGTGAAATGACAAAGTATTCTACCGCTCACTTCACTCCAAAAGTCAATTGCATACGATATCGTCCGCATAATGATAGCATGATTCCTGATAAGGAACCCGTCGAAGTAAATTCTATTGGTTCTCTCTCTCTGAGCATATAGGAAAGCGAACTGCAATGAAGCCTCGTACAGGAGCAAGAATTCATATTAGGTGTCACTAACCTGACCGATACTATTACTAATCATAAGCAGAAGGCTTCGCATCACGTTATTCTTATAGTCTGGACGATTTTTCAAATCATCTGCGAGACATTTCCTGGCACATTTACCAAACGACCCAGCGATAAGATCACCACTGAGTCCCAAGTTTGTATACCTGATGCAAAAGCGATATGCAATAGGATACGTTACAAAAAACGACTACATACTTTCCGCCGTATATGTCTGCTACCAAAATATCAAACTGTCGATGATCACCCTCTTCGGCCATGCGCATCATTTCGTCCAAGTCTGCAATATTAACAACACAGGTGATTACAGTTGCGAACAAAAAGGTGTTAACAAGACACACCTACTTCGGAGGTTAGGAGATTTCCCAAGCCAAAAAAGCAGCCTCCTCCTAATGAAGAGCCTCCAACCCTTTCATATTTACAATCACTATCGACCTGCAAG